TGTGAAATTTCAGAAAATGAAAATTGCTTTGAAGTGTCAGGATATTTAAATAACTTTAAACTATTAGCTTGTCCCGGTAATGATGTCTTTACTGAAGAAATAAAATATTCATTAAATAAGTTAGCAATTTTTTCATGATCAGAAAAAAAAGTCCATTTACTGTGATTTGTGAATTGTTATTAAATGTTTTATTGTTATCTTCACCTGTCACTGACTTAATCGTTTCCCATAATATTTTTGGATTCTTACTGGCTGAAATATGAAATGATTTTTTTATTTAATCCCCTTAACTTGAACATTTAATTCTCAGACGTTTTAATCTTTAAAACTCAAATTATTTATTTATTCAAGGTTTTTCTTCTTCCTGCTCCCTTTTCACTCATGCATAGTATGTTTTAAATGAAAATGTGTTTGTACGTTATAATGAGGGGAATTGTTGAATTGAGTGAATAAACGTAATTAAACATAAAGATGAATATGTTGCCTTGAAAACGAATACGTAAATAAATAAACCAGAAGCAGCAGCCTCCAAACTACATCAGAAACTCACCCAAATTTAGCAATGTCCGTGATATTCTGCATTTTATAAAGGATTATATTTTGTTTAGTCGATTTCAGGATTCTGCATTTTCTGCATTGCGACAATTATAAGGCCCTACAAATCTCAGTCCTATTTTCATACATTTTTTTACACACCTGGGAAATTTGTCCACTTACGCCCTTTAATGTGCTTGCATACCAGGGGTTGGGAATCACTGTTCTAAACCAAGGATGCCCAGGCAACATACATCTCCTACTTTACAAGTGGGAAAAGTAGAGTAAGTCATTTGATTATCACTTTTGTGGTGCTTGTTGATAACAAAATAATCCAAATAACTGCGTGTACAATATGAGAGAAATCTAAAAACAAAACTTTATAATAAACTGTACTTTTTCAGTTTAAACTTTACATACAGCAGCTACAACAGTAACCCTTATACAGAATGCTTCACAAATAACAAATTAGGCTTAGAAAAAACTAGAATCAAATTTAACATCAATACATTATTTTTAGCAGCTTTTCTCTTCCACATTGCGGGGGTCCCTGATGCCTGTCTCCATCAGTCACTGTATGAAAGGCAGGGATCACCCTGGAAAAGTTCACAGGATCGAAGAGGCAAACGAGGTGAACCATCCACACTCCCCAAATTAACAATATACTAACTATAAAATCAAAAACTGTCATAGGCTTTATGAAATACAATGTTTTTGGTTGCTAGTTGGTCTTTTTTTTTTACTCCCCTGCTGCAGTGGATCATAATGACCTATGATGCCTCAGTGTTAAATCTGAGACTGGTGGGTCATTTTGACCCAAGGGAGTCTTTTCAACACAGCTGAATTTTGGTCACTTTAGCCTAAAACATGCAGGACCACACTTAAACAAAGTGGAAAATTATAAATCAAAAAGTTAAATACAATAAAAA